AGCGGGTGTGCTGCGATTCACGCGCCAATATAATGAGATCATCGGACAAAACGAGCTTAAACATCATGCCTACCATCATAATAAGAGACTTAAAGGCACAGTTCACAAAAAAGCGGTTTCAGAGATTTGCACATTTTTTGAATTCGAAGCCCCCTCTGATACCATTTGTGCAGGAATGAGGTCGGAAAACGGTCTGGATAGGCACAATAAGGGCAGGAACAGTGGGGACGTCAGGCCTCCGTCCCTCGCTAGGTTGACTACGAGTTCAAATTGTCCTTCACCACTTTCGCATTGGAGCAACATTAGTGAAAAATCGATAGGCTGGTTGGCAATTTGCCCACAGACGGTCAGCTGGTCGACCGCCTCGTATTGGGACTACTATTCGGCTGTTTCTCTAGTATTCGACTATATTCTACGCTTTTCTATTCTAATTAATTTTTCTCAGCCGTCGTCAAAAGGTCGAAATTGATACTGCATAATAAATCAGATTAATAGCGGTAGGAGAATTAGCTTTAATGAATAAGCCAAAATCAGCTGTTGGTGTGTTGTGTGCAATGGCAGACACTGCGCCGCGTTTGTCTGACTCGCCCGAAAAATTCTTATCGCCGTTTTTTCGCCATTTAGCTCGTCCGACCCCCCTTTTCCCTTGTTTTTTGTAGCTGTCTATTTCTTTATATTCATCTTTATTCGCGTTTTCTTTATTACCATTGTACTATTGTAGGCCGTATCTAACATTTTTTGTCAAAATTCGCCAAAAAACCGGATACCCCAAAATTAACGTGAGCTGTGCCTTTAAGAACTTATAAGTAGCATAAGTAAAGAAATGACCAAATATGCACGTTTACAGAAGGATTGCGTTTTCTAGGATCACAAAATTTGAAGTTATTGTTATTTTGAACGTTTGACAAGTAAATTGTTGACCTATGGACTGAATTCTTAACAAAGAAGGGACCTTATTGCCATAGTGAAGAGATTTGCTCTGATTCATGATGAAGCCGTGGACTATTGCAAATTTATTTGGTCCATCTCAACAGAAAGGTACTGAAACGATGCTGCGTGCGCGAAGAGCTCTAATGGGGTCACGCGTGAATCGCGCGCCCCCCTGGAATAGCTTTTCACCCTGCTCATTCCATTCCATTCCGTGAGTCTCAATGTAGAGCTCTTCAGCCGTTCTTCTGGGGCCAAACCTGACGTTGAAACCTTGACAATGACCGAGGAGGAATTGTGGTCTTCTTTGTGGAGACCCTCCAGATCCTTGTCGAACGTTTCCAACTCTTCTTCGTAGCACGATGTTGGTGCGTAGGCAGGGAAAATTGTTAGAGCTGGGATTGAGACATCAGGTTGACATCTTTTTGATCGCAAACGTCCTATTCTGTTTGTCGAGCTTTCGTACGATTCAATGTTCGCGGCCAGTAGAGTATTGACGAAGAAACCTACATCGACGACCCCCTGCTATCGCATGTTCTATGAAACAGTTCTTCAGTCTCGAACACGGCGTGCAACGTGCGATGCCTTCCCGTCTCGGTTAGTCCGATGACGTCGTACTTGATCTTCCTAGCTTGCATCATCAGGTCTTTTGAACGTGTTTACGATGCAAGCGTCCATGCTTTGAAAGTACATATCGCCGTCTTGGTTATCCTCCCTCTGGACAGCCTGTTTTTGCCCTGAGAATATGCAGTCTCTTCCGAGCGGTGCTATACAACGCTTCCGTATTGGGAGCTCCCTCAGGCTTATACATGTTTTTGTTTTTGGCACATCAGGACCCAACGAGTATTTGCTGCGCTCTAAAGTGAGGGCTGGATTGACTCCCTTTGATATCCAGGCTATCCCAACGTGGATGAAAGGCTTTGCTTTGGGGGGCGGCCCAGAATCGCTTCCAGGATACTTCCCGGTCAGTCGAAAAGACTTGCCTAACAAGCCCCCTTCTGTGCATGTCCCACCTGCTGTGAGCGAAGCTACGCTCAGTTCACACGTGCCCTATTGGTCTTGCCCTTTGCTCAACCCATTCCAAACCTGGCGCGACCCCACCGGATACTTCTTCAAGTAGTGTCCAATTTCTTGACAGACAGGCAGGCAGACAGACAGACAGACGGACACGAGCGCTTTGTACTTAGTAAGGAGTTTCCGCCGGCATTCATATCGTATCAAGTTCATAAGGGAGGTTCCGCACAATGGCTGGCTCTTGTCCCGGTACGCAGGTCAATAGAAATGTATAGGGTTAAGTCTCATCAGAATTCTTCATGAACACCCTACTCCACCTGAAGTCTGCTTATCCTAAAGCCGGAAAGTGTCTAGTAGTCTGCAACGTGCACAGAACAGCAACAGGAATTTGTACAGGCGATGTGGAGCGAGGAGAGTCGCGAAAGCTGGCAGCTAAAATTGCAATGTCTAATAGTCATGAGAGGAAATTTGTTAGATTAGGCTCGAGAGGGCATTCTCGGAGGAATCGTGATGTTATGATGCAGCATCAATTTCCCTCCATATCATACAGAATCAGCGCAGAGATTCGGCCATGCATTAAGCGAGCGAGTTCGACGAATGTTGTTACCACGATAAACATACCAAGGCACAGTATTAAACGTGAACTGATCCGTAGCAGACTTTATGACTTCGCATGCACCACGCATAACTGTGTCATTTGTCCATTTGGGAAGGATGGAGAATGTACCCACGAGGAGTAGTGTATGAACTTCAGTGTTCATCCTGTGACGAAATACAGGGTGTCCCAAAATTATTTGCGCCGATTTATAGCAATATATTTGAAACTTCTCAACTGCGAAAGACGATGAAATTTCTATGCACGCTAGCTAACACTATGGGCTACCACATGCTAAAGTCGCATTTCAAAACATCCCCCGTGAGCGCGAATAAAAGTCAAAGTTTGCCTTCGACTTGATCGCATGTGGCACGCAGGTATCCTTCTCCATTTCTTCCCAGCCGTCCTCCAACTTTTGCATTCTAGGATTTCAAACTGGAACTGCAAACTCGGCAGGTCCTCTTCTAATCAGGGACCATTCGTGGGGTTCAAGTGAGTCAAGTTCTGGAAAACAGGATGACCATTCTTCTTCACCAATGAAGTCGGGCAGCTGTCGTCGGCACCACTCGCGGGCAAACTTGGCTCTGTGGGCTGGAGTAGCGTCCTGCTGGAAGGACTATGAGATGTTTCAGAAAACGTAGTCGGATCAATGTTTTATTTACTTCCATTAGTCCGCCGTTTGAATACTGGTCTTGGTCAATTTTCACGCCTGCACCGAAGAAACCACGAGCGGCTTACCCTTGCCAGTGATTTCCTCGAAAAACATTTTACTGTCCTGATAACAACCTCTTTGTGAGATATTACACGNCAGGTCCTCTTCTAATCAGGGACCATTCGTGGGGTTCAAGTGAGTCAAGTTCTGGAAAACAGGATGACCATTCTTCTTCACCAATGAAGTCGGGCAGCTGTCGTCGGCACCACTCGCGGGCAAACTTGGCTCTGTGGGCTGGAGTAGCGTCCTGCTGGAAGGACTATGAGATGTTTCAGAAAACGTAGTCGGATCAATGTTTTATTTACTTCCATTAGTCCGCCGTTTGAACACTGGTCTTGGTCAATTTTCACGCCTGCACCGAAGAAACCACGAGCGGCTTACCCTTGCCAGTGATTTCCTCGAAAAACATTTTACTGTCCTGATAACAACCTCTTTGTGAGATATTACACGCTGGATGTTTCTTTCCGGAACGCGTTGATTGTTGAGAAATGGCTTTATCGTGAAAAATTCTTTGACCAGAGAAAACGACGAAGGGTTGCGTGTCACCATTTTCGACTTTTTGCATTTTTGGCCCTGCAGTATCTGTTGAGATCGGAATTGAAGCGAAATTTCTGCATACGATAGGAACGGCAGTGAAGCTCCTGCATGACATTCTTCCATGGCGATAACTCCTGTAAGCCGTGCCTGTTGACTTCTTTTTGATGGGTCACCCAGGATCCCGACCGATTGGCATACGGACCATTTTAATAGTCCTATCTTCAGAAACATTCTACCTTTCTATATTTCCTGGTTTGTCTCTGATTCAATCTTCTTTACTATATCGTTTAATAGCCTCCTATACGGTTATTAGAAAAATCCCAAAGAATTTCATAACGCCCTTCCACTTCTCGCGCGTCAATGATTACGAGTGGCATTGAATGAGCCTCCTCCGTCTGAAAGATAATGGGAGTTCCACATCAGCAACCATGCATATTGCAAGGAAACCTCCTTATGCAACTAATTAATAACAGGTAATGTGAATTTGATGAATTATTTCTACCATAAAAATTACTGAACTTTGGCGCAAATAATTTTGGGACACCCTGTATATTACATTAGAGGGACGGGGCGAATGCTGAGCATCAAAGAACATCTAGAAAGTGTAAGGCGAAATTAAACTTTCACACCATCTGGAAAGCACATATTATAAGAACATTAGGATGATGAACTTCGACATTGAATGCAAAGTGTAGCCTTCGAGAATGAAGTAGGATCTAGGGATATAGGGGTATGCTAGGGAGATATAAGAAGCGTTACATATCCAAAAATACATTCGAAATTCAAAGCTGAACAACCGAAATAGTAGTAAAGGTCATTGCAAGTAATCTCTTGCCTCCGCTCTGTGGACTTTGGGATTTTTTCCTTATCTTACGACTGTCAGCGGTGTCTCATTTGTCCTTTGTCCCTTCTGTACCATTCGAAAAATGATAGTCCATTTCTTTTTTAATCGTTAAAATAAAGAGTCGGTCTGGAGAGGAAATCCAAAGTTCTTTCATGGAATGAGTAAAATTAGAGAAATGTCATCCGGTACTCACAAGGAATGGAAAGAGAACGTAGCTCTATAGGTGTTTAAATTGAGGCAGCAATAGCGCAACTCAACATCTCACTATATCTTGAAATCGAGTTCCATTCTCCCTTGCTCATGACGATGGGAACTTATTGTTAGTTACACCCACCGCGAACCGACGATCTTTTTCCAGATCGAAACATCTATACCTTTCCGGACATATCCCAAAAGCACCCCATATATGTATGGATGTTGCCTTCTATCCGTCGGAGTATGAACGATTCGCACTATACCCTCCCGATGTATTCCAGGAATACATACAGGTACATGAATACCTCATGTTAGCAATTTGACCATTGCTTGAAAATCTGTAAAGAATCTCAATTTCAAGATGCTTGGTATAGATGCTGGCGAGCATCTGATCCTCTACGCTCGAGGTATGTTCGGTGGAATGCTCCATGCTTCGAAATTTGCGTGGCTTTTTAAGGTCCTTTTCTTTTGTGGGCTGTCACACGTTGTGTTCTCCTCATTTGCTTTTTTGATTTTGTTCTATTAAGTCTTATGGCCATGAAAAAGTGTCTGTTGTTGATGGTGGATTTGATGAGTGGACAAAAAAAGGTTATGAAGTCAGTAAAGATGACGTCAATTTGAAGGCAAGTTAATGAAGAACGTGTTGTTATGCCAGTATCCCATCAATTATTTTGACCAAGCTAATGGAAGACCATCCTTATTGAGTTTCGTCAGGAACTTATGTAGGGAGTATCGGACATCTTTCGCGAGGTCATGATGGGTACGCGAATTAGGGAAAGCTGGCAGCTAAACTTCTATATGCTCTCATAATCTAACGCTATTGTTATCATAGTTGAATGTTGTTATCAAGTCAGGCTTTCTTATTACATCGTGCGCACATTGGCAAAGCCGTTGGAAGGTGTAGACTGAAGATAGCTATTTAGCGTGGAACGTGGAAAGCTAATGATGAGATGGCGAAGTACAATATAAAGTTCGAGCAGCTAGAGGAGCAGCATGGTGACAGGAAGTACATCGAGTGGACTGACGATGTGTGATGGCCGATCATAAGAGTTTACCACTGGTCGTATTAGTGCAGCTGCAGAAAGCATTTTTTCAGCTGAATCTGCTTGATGCCCGAGTTCGTGGCCAGTTTGAAGGCACTGTTGCCGCCGGAGCTCCTCCAGGTCAGTGTGCACTGTTACCTTCTGGATTAGTAAGACTTGCTTTTACTTCATCGGTTGGTGGCTTAGGTGTGACTGGCACACATATCCCTGGCTTCAAGTGCGTGCCGGCAGGAGAGCTGGTAGAGGAAGGTCGCATGAGAAGCAATGAAGATATTCGTACCTGTGGGTTGCTTGAATACACATTCTTAAGTAGCTTAGGTTGTTAAGAAAATGAATGTATCGGTGAGAAGTAACGAGGCATTAAAAACCCTAAACAGCGACTGAGAAGACGCAACTTGAACTTGAGAAGGTTGTTTGCCGTTCTCAGTAGCGGTGAAAAAAATATTGAAAGTTGGTTTAGGACAAGTGTTCGCTCTCAGTCCTTTACCACTTCTCGGGATAACCTTTTTCTTCTTACACTTCAGTGATGGTTACTCTTGTGAAGGCATTGCTTTCTCTTTCTTGTCATCCGCTATGCAGTTTGCAGAGCTTTTTATTTTATAGCGGTACTTACCTTGCCTGTTTGCTTATTTCGTCGCTTTTCTTCTTTCTCTGTCTATTTTTATTTAATTATTTATGCACTCAACTATATCATATATATATATATATATATATATATATATATATATATATATATTGGGTTGTCCGGAAGGTTTCCGCCGTTTTTGAACACCCTGGGTTTATCAACTTGAAAAAGTAAGTCCTTCATTATATCCCTGTATGGATCTGGTAACTTTTCTCGAAGTCTTTCTGTACAGGTTCACGTGAAAATTGAGGAGCGTTGCGTGCCATCGTTTTCGGCATCTGATGATTTTCTTCTACCGCACTTGCAAAAACGCGGCTTAAGCCGCGATAAAAAATTGGAAATGTGGACCATGCTCTAGGGTAACGTACAGTGAGTGATTTGTAGATTTTATACGGAGTGAATTCACTCTCGAAGGTCGGCAACGCTCAGGGAGGCTGTCATTAGTTGAAAACGACCGAGTCAAAGTAACTTTTGGAACGAATCGGCACATCATTGTTCGTGGAATAGGATAAGGACTCATTGTTTTGGAATGAACCATCCATGGCCTTTTGCTGGAACTTGGTTTTGTTTTGCGTTTTGTTGTAGAAAATAAAGCGAGGAATAGAGCTTTTTTGGTGCCATCATAGTGATTGATGTCACAGTGGTGACTTTTGACTTCCAAGCTGAGAACCTCTTCAAACCGTCAGAAGGAGAGCGGTTAATAGTCCCTTCGAACAGTTTCCATGGCGGGTTCACGAAAAATGTTTCCGATAAAGGATAAAGGATAATGTTTTTGGCGTTAATCAATCCCGTCTGGGGGATACGCCCCCGCACTCGTCTTCCATTCAGAATCGTAGTGGCGTAATGAGTGCGTATGTGGCCTATACAATGACTTGCGGTGGCCAGCCGATACAAGTCAGTGCTTTTATTCTCCCAGACGAGGAAGGCTTGGTTGGCCTAAGCGGGCATCGAGCCGAGATTCGAACCCCTGTCCGTGCGTGCGATATAGTGCGCCAATTGCCACTACACCACCTCCGCCCTAATGTTTCCGATACGATACCCAATTACTGAGATTCAAGAGGAGCCAAAAACCTCCAACAGATGAACCACTGTCGTAGAGAGAGTGTGAGATAACCTGTCATTTGAGTCAAGAATGAAATAATGTCGACTCCGCGTTGGATCGAAATAGAAATCCGGAGAAGCTGCCATGTTGAGGTTCTAGTAAAGGGTTGCCGTTATTCCTGGCCTCCACTGATGCAAATGATGTGTACATGTGCTGTTCGACGACGTTCCCTTCTACTCGAATTGAAATGCTTACCCAAAACCTATGATATTATTGAGCCTTTTAAAATTAGCTAAAGTAGTTCTGTATCCACAATTTAGCCAAAAATGACGATTTAAGAAAAATCTCATGAATCGCTATAGAATTGGGAATTTTCAAGAGACCTCAATCTCAACGATATAATGGCAGCCTAATTTTTCCGAAAAGTTGCAGGCTCAAATTGCAATGGTTTATATAGCGTTCCACTGACGGTACCACTCTTTTGAATCCTATCATTCTCTAGTCATTCCTACGATCAGAATGCGTCTTGGAGGAAAAAAATTGGAGTCAAGAAAATGTTTTTGACACTTTTTTTTGAATATGAATTCGTCTTCAATATAAACAGATGTGGCTAATTAGGCGGTCAGATTTCCAATGTAATTCAAATGATACAGGACGCATTTTATTACTGCAGCAACGGCAATGTTTACAGCAACTGGAAGACAAAAAGGACGAGGGAATGGAAGTAGAACAGATGTGGATAGAATTACGATACCGCCGGCGATTTAGTAAGAGCTCACGTCCTTATGAAATCTGCATATTCGGGGGTAACTTGTTCAGAATCAGTCACTAATCACCCGGCATAATTTTTTCGTTCATTACTTCTCAAAACTAACCAGGAAAAGCATCGACGTTCACGAGACAGGTTGGCAATCGATGTCCAAAAAAGCGCTTTTTCACATGAGTGCAAAGCTTTGTGAAGATTGATACAGTTCGCTAGCAGCAGGGAACTAAAGAAAGTTTATTTATGTACTCCCGTCTAAGTCAGACATTCTTATACAGAAATACTGGAGAGCAGTAATTCCGGAAGTTTTTAATTTTTACATTGCTTCCGTGGAACTCCCTATATCACCTGTCGTCCCCTTAATTATCCTCGAGCAGGTGCCAGTTTCAAGGGACAGAAGCATTCCTTCCGTCCAGAGCTTTCATGATGAAGCCTGACCTTCGATGACCAAGAATGGATCTATCTTTCGGAAATTTTGGCATTAAGTTTTGCTCGTTTAGCTCCAATCATAAAATATAATACATCAAAAACGACGAGTCAAACGTGTGTTACGTTAATGCATTTCTTTTAGAGCGTCCCACAGATTTTATTGAATTTCTGTTGAAGTTCTTAACTCAAATCGCTTTTTATTCAAGGGCTCGAGCAGACTGGATTCAAACCCGATCGACCGTCTGTCGTTCTATGCAACACCGGTGTGCAGGCAGCAATGCTCGCGTACGCAATAAAGGGCATTTTCCCACACAATCCCATTCAAGTGTACAATGTAGGTTGCTCTCTCAATATATGCAAATACATGCAAAAAGATCGCCTCAAAAATGAATCGAATTTTTGCAAGCAAATCCGATCATTCTCTAGTCATGCTCAACGATCACTGCGGACTCACATGTTGTTGAAGTCGTTACACACCATTTGTCACAAACACCCGCGGACCCACTTCTTGTACACATACATATGGTAGTATATTTGCTGCGCTGATCTATTCCTCTTTGATTGAGTCAACGCCAATCGCGACCGATAACAATGAAAGTGGAGAAATATTTTTACTAATGCGCATCGTCACTTTCCCTCCATATTCACTTCCATACTTATTTTTCAAGGCGAAGATGGGTTTGTTTAAGGGTTTGTCGGTCTACCTAAAAATAGATTATTGGTTACAAGAAGAACACTTTTGCAGAAAGCCTACAGGCACAGTCTCAGCTTCAGTATGAGTCTTCAGGAAAGTAAATGTCTGAAGTACGTAGATGTTGTAAGGAGTCATGGGGCAAACAAAAAACTGCTGTGCTAAACAGTTCAGGAGTGTCGATCCATCGTAGTGTTACCATAGTAGGTACACTCTCGTGCCACTATAGGAACCCCTTCGATTCAGTTTGAATCACCTCTGTAAGTAAAATTATACAAATTTAGAGAGAAGCAAATGTGGAAGTTATCGGCGGCTGTTATGAGTGAGCGAAAATCTGCACTTTTTCAAAACCAGACAATGTTTGTCTGTTTTGCAGTTGTGATCGATGTTTTTGAGTTTTTGCTGAGTCCGCAGCATCTTGTGAAACATCTATGGACGCCTTCACTTGACAAAAATTGCGTCAAAACAGCACATACATAGGCTCATTTGGAAGAGGCGTTATGGAAGCAGCAAAGATGAAGTTCGGCAATAATAAAATAGTCAAGCGTACGACTCATAAGTTTTGCGATAGCTGTTTGTGGACAGTGGGTTGGAAAGTATTTAGATGCTCATCATAAGCTCTTCGCCGGAGAAAATCAAAAGAAATCTTCGAGAATAGCGTGACGAAGCCTTCGCTATTGCAGGCAATTTTAAAAGAAGAAGCGAGCGCGAATACCTATATTTTTGAACCAGTTCTTATTGTTGAAAACATACCACTTTTGCAGTATCGATTGCATCTTACATATTTTGAGATGCTTACTCGTGAGTGGAGGGTTAAACTGCGCTTTGCATTGAAGTGAGTAGTTCAATTTACCAAGATCACCAGCTCTCTGAATCCAGACCCTCTTATCAGACCCTCTTCTTCTGCTGTTAGGATTCACCTGCTGCCATTATTTCTTAATTCGCAATTTTCGTTTTTTCTAATTCTCTTCTCGGTCTCTACTTTAGCATGGATGGATATTCGGCTGAAGGTGCCAGTTGTAATAAAAATACACCGTCAGCTTATTCTCAGTAGCGTACCATTCTCTCGCTTTGTTTCTCGATAGTTAAAAGTTGTTTTGTTCAATTTTTCATTTCTTGGTTTTCTAATCATTAACTGATGCCCGAAATCCCTATCATGGGTTTTTAGATCGGACAGAACATTGCAATATGGTGGCTCCACAGTAAATTGGGTATAAGTGTAAGGAGTAGAGGCGATCCTGTGTGCGTAGTGATCACCTTTTCCGAAACTATCAACTACGACTTGCTTCACTATTCTATTGTTTAACTATGTTTATAAAGAATTCCGGTAAGTAGTAGAGGAATAAAGATTTCTCGACAACGTTCTACCCCGCACTATAGCAATCAAAATCTCATGTGATTCCAGGACTTTGACGACAGTCGGTATTTAAAATTTGCTGAATTCTCCTTTTCACATGGCACTGCAAGTGAAGACTCCACGAAGTGAACTTTTTTCAGGGTTCGCTCAAGGAAATGGAGTTACGCAATCCGAGTAGAATATCAGCATCGCCCAAAGACGACTAATCTTCATGACAACTCTATTATCATGTAAACGAAATAAATTTGTTAGGGACTTGGTTTGCTGAAGGTTCGCACGAGAATTCCATGATGTGCATGTTCAATTCAGGAGATAAAGCACAGAGTACCATGGAGTACCAGGATTTAATGCAACATCAGAAGAAGCGTAAACGAAGTGCTTTTTCTCTTCCTACTTGCCTTCATATTTGAGCACTAAAGGATACCTGGCAGAAAAATATCTGAAGTGGAAGTCAAAAAGTGGTTCTGTTTAAGATTCTTCGTGATAGTTTTATGCATCGCAATGGTTAGAAGGTGAAAGTTCTGATGCAGTTCAGTGCATCAAAGTGGAGTGCAATGACTATGCACCTATTGAATCATAAATGTACAACCTTCTTCTAACTGCTTCATTTCTGAAGGAGCCGCTTAAAAGTATGGAGTGGGGGTTTCCACCGATATTTTGGTGGCGTCTGGAACAGTAGCTGATTACGTTTACCACTAACTCCACCTTGCATTGTGCGACGCTGTTCAAATTGCATCCAATCCAGACGGCTTTTCTACACAACGACACCACCTGTCTACTCATCAGGAGTGAAAGATTCATCTCAGCAAGGGAATTTAACGTTCTTATCGCGGAGTGGGGCTCTAAGAGAAAAAGCCTATAAGATTCAAGAGAAGTTGCCTAGTACACCAGCCTGAAGGATGTTGAGCTCGTGGACGAGAGGTCTGATTTTGAGTAGCCCTACTGCAGTGAAGTAAAATGAACTAAGGGTCATCCGAGTAGTCTTTATATCGCCTTTTATTGGTACCTCAGACGGGTCGCCCGGCTTAGTTGGGCCTCATTCCTTCCTTTAAAGAGTGGTTATGTTGAAAATGATGTAGTTATGGAGGGGAGGGGCTTCGCTTTTATTCAACAATGAGGACTTTAGTGCGAAGAAGGATGGATAGCCGACCGTAGTTAGCATCATGGGGTATGAATGACTATCCAATTGACTCACCCACACAAGTGCTCCTTCCCACCTGAAGCTCAGGTCAAAAAAGTGCATGATCTCGGCTAAGAGACCTTCCTGAGTACAATTATGGGCTGATGTCCTCATCTATAGTGCTCAGTGTTAGAAAAAAAAAGGCAATTCTCTCAAGTACACAATTATCTCCAATTTTTGTATAGACATACATATCACGACACTGATACAGATCGAAACCACAGCTTTGGAGGACCCATTTCACTCCACACTGCTCACTTCACTCCTCAGTACTCACTTTACTTCATTAGCCTACCTACCAACTCGCTGCTTCCGACAAGAAGGAGCTGTTGGATAGAGTTGGGTTTTCCATTGCACTGCCTTTATCGTAAAGTTGCGGACGGACAGATCGACAAACCGACAGACAGCCAAATCAAAAAACCAATACACCATGTTACTGCTTTATAAATAAGGTAGATTTGATCATTATATGGAGCAGACTTGGTAGCAAAGTTTTAAAGCGCTCGGAAAGAAAAATAAGAAAGAAGTCGCCATAGTGGTTCGTATTGGGTTTAAAGGGCAACCAGGACAGATGAGGGGCAATCACCCTTAGAAAGTAATTTCAGCTAGCTTGGTCTCATGATATGAAATGCACTTTTGGGGGGAAAGTTAAACAACTATAGTATCCATTTAAAAAGCTTGAACGCGGGGAAATCGCCTACACCAAGCGATCCATTGTCTGTGATATTGAGTGGCGGACATGGTGGATACTGATATAAGCCTCTTGGTATAAGACATACTCACTCAGGTTCCCAAAAATCAGAGAGAAGAGCAGTGCGGACGGTACCTCATCTTTAACAACTGAACGTCAATATTCAGAAATGAATGTCTTGTTATTTTCTGAGCATCAAATAATGTTCCTACGTGTGAAATGTAGCGAAAGGAAAACGCTAGAAATCGTTCGAATATTGCCGAATAACCTGTTATACTATAGCCCTTCCGCATGATTGATCAGAAATTAGATTACCAGAGGATAACCCTCCCTGGCATGTCTTTAATGTACAGACTGGAATCGTCCCCAAAATGAGCTGTGAAATTTATGGAGATACATCTAGAGCTCCAGCTTCATTACTTCAAGCTTAAGTCCATCTATATCTCTACGACGGAAAAACTCAAGAATANTAGCCCTTCCGCATGATTGATCAGAAATTAGATTACCAGAGGATAACCCTCCCTGGCATGTCTTTAATGTACAGACTGGACTCGTCCCCACAAAAATGAGCTGTGAAATTTATGGAGATACATCTAGAGCTCCAGCTTCATTACTTCAAGCTTAAGCCCATCAATATCTCTACGACGGAAAAACTCAAGAATAATGCAAGGTTCAACAGCAAGCAAGTGGCTTCTCCCACTCCATATGCGCAACCGAGCAGCCTGCAATGGCGTGTCATAGTATAGGGTTGGCCCCAGGGTTTCTTCCAATAGCGAGCTGTTGGTTTCACAAGAAGTCCACCAACATTTCTATGTAACAAAATCCGGTTCCGTTATAAGTGGCGTTGACGAAGTTCCTGTACGCTTGAGCTGAAGATGTCAATCGTAGATATGAACGCGTATTGATTCCCCAAATCGTTTGGTGAGTAGCCATTCTTTCCCTGCTCTTCAGGATCGTCGTTAGGATTGACATTCAACCGATTTGTTCTATCAAATGCTACGAATATGATTCGAGGTTGTTTCAGATGGAACTGTCTATCTCCAACATTTTTGCACTGTACACTTCGAATCTTCTGTGGAGCCTTTTCCTGACCTCAACTGCTCTGCATGCTATCGCTCTCATTACAAGTCCTATGTGAGCAACTTACACTATTTGCTTTTGCTATTTTCTCTGCAATGCAGATACCATCGTTTTCAGGCAAGCAGTGCTGAAATGGTATCGACGTCAAAGTAGCGACAGCGACACGTGCTTGCCATATCTATGTGCAGTCATTGGGTAAGCTTCCCTATGTACTCGGCCTACAACCTTTTGCGCAGTTATTGTGGTAGAAAGTTTTTAGGTTGTTAATATGGGTGTTAATTGGCTGGAAGCACCATATTTCATTGGACATAAAGCTATTGCCAAAGAATCAATCTAAACTCGTTGATCGCACTTCGCGCATGCATGGTCACGGGTTCGAATCGCGGATCGATATCCGCCTATGCCAACCAAGCCTTCCATCGCTCCAGGGTCGGCTAATTGGTTCCAGACTCGTCTAAGAGGATAAAAGCACTAACTTGTTTTCGGCTGGCACTGCAAGTCTTGTATAGACCACATACGCATTCAGTACGCCACTACGCCTCTGAATGGAAGTCGAATGTGTGGGTGCATCCCTCAGACGGAATTGATTAACGCCGAAAACTTAACCCTTCATCCTTTACCAGGAACTTTGTCGAATCGTATGCCCTCCAATTCCACCTATTCCGATGATGCATGTGGCCCAAGGAATATTAGGAATAACGGTTCGCAGAGTACCGTATTTCAGGTTTTTCTCCCTCTGATTACGAGCACACCTATGTATTTGACCTTGTGGACTGTTCGCTTGAAGTGGTCAGGGTGTTTTTCCCATCAAAAGAACATGAAAGAGTATGCCCCCTCTATTTCGGCTTACTATCAGGAGCTTGGGGCTAGCCTGGAGATAGAAATAAAAAATGGTGATGAGACCAAAGCCACAAACGAGAATAACGTCAACAACGGGAGGTATTGATAAGCTTCAACAGATGAATTACGTCATCAACATGCTAGGACGTTTTCGAAATTTATGTCTTGGACTCTCACACCCATGCTTCAAGATCGTCTGCAAAATCTGTAGCCTCATTTTGCAACTTCTCGAATGTTTATTTCTGGTCCTTCTCCATTTTCTCTCTCTAATCTATGTTTAAATAGCGATTGAAATTGATACCTACCTCTACAACGCCAAAAAATGTTGACTCTGTACAGAAATAATCCATAAAACTGAAATACCAGGTCTGGATTGTGGTTGCGGTACTCCATTTTCATCCAAGACACGAAGCTCATCCTTCTACAATCCTACGCTGTCATAATGCAGAGCTTTTTTCTAGTTGCGTTGATATTCTATCGTTCGAAAAAGGTAGGGATTGGGTGTTTCTGTATGAGGGGTTTCACTATTGTACATGGAATTTAGCGACGGCTCATTCGACTTGTCATTCTCATAGCTACCGTCATTTTCCTTCTATTTTACTATATTCAAGGAATGAATGAAGATGATGGCAAACAGGTGATGATATTTACACGGTTTTTCAATCGTCTTGCTTAACAGATGATTTTCTTATCTTTCTACCTCTAATATGTCGCATTCAAATGATTGGTGGAACTATTAAATTCTATTAAAGGCGCAGTTCGGATAAGTCAGGGATTTCTTTAATAGCCTATAAGTAAGTTATTAATATGGAGTAATAAATATTTCTACGGAAAAAACATAGTCGACTGACGAAACTGTCTTGAACCAATATAGACCAATATACAGTGCCAAAATGTCCTCTGTGGCGAGATGAGAAGGTCATTGGGTTGTTGAGTTTGCGTTTAAGTTTATTTTTGTGAAATCGTGGTATGTATGTATCTGTACATATCTTTGCGCGAACCGCCGAGAAAATGTAACTTTTCGCATCGGATTTGCAATAGACGCAATTGCTTTTGCTAAGGGCATATGGAAAGTAAGAGGGGCTCACAGTAAGCGCGTTTAGCCAAGAAGAATTCAAACGCAAAAAATCAGACACTGTGTCCGAAGAGGCGGCCGCCCTGCTCCATGGGGTGTAGCAGCAATACTCCAAGCTGCATGTAGAGCTACCTCACAACTATGTACATATGCACGCTCCTCATATTCGCTGAATATGTTCCCACAACTTCTAAAACCGCATGGCTTTTCGACCGATGGCGCGATCTTATGGTTAGTGAACAGCAGTATAGAGTTTTCAGTGATCTGCGAGAACTGTGAAAACTTGGTCTCTCTGCATAGACCTTTCCGTTCTGCTCTGTTTGTTCTCGACTTTTTGTTCATTGATTATCACTAAAGTCTCCTCTTTCTCATTCTTCTTTTTTTCTACTTTTTCTTATCATCTTTTATTGTTCATGTGCTGCAACAGTGCTACCCTCGCCCTCCCCCCTCCCCCCATCATTTGACAGGTGGTTTTCTTGAAGGAAGCAGGAATGCAAAGAAATGTTGAAATGTTGGCCTTTCAAGATATTAGCTCAATGTTTTGGAATGGATTCACCGATTTCTGAAGACAAACACACCTGCAAACTTTAGATTATGAAGTAATAGAAGAAAAATCAAGTACTTCATCTTATTTTTGATTTTTTTGATTTTTAAGTCAATCTCTGCCTTTCCTTGTAGTTATTCGTCATAACTTGGTACCTCTGTGAAATATGAAGGAGTCCCATCGCTTGCACCGAACTATAATAGTAAGGAATTAAACGTAGACCCTAATGTAGACTCTAAAAATAATCACCCTTGACTCCAGACTTTCATGAAGGAGATTCGGCCTCGAAGATTTTTTTTACAAATATACTAGTGAAGCTAGAAATAGGACATTGAGTATCCCAACAACAACCGCACCTCATTGCAGGCGACTGGAAGTATCGCATCGGCAGCACAAATAGCTGGATCTCTCGTTTGCCCTTACTTAATCGTGAGTACTTTTTTGCGCTTAGACTTTTTTGATCTTTACTCCACGTTTTTTTCGTCAACAACTGCAGCTTTAATCGTTACTGGGTGGACCGAAGTAAAAGGCTATAAAAAATTTAAGACCTTCACTACAAAACCGAAGTTTAACCTCCTTCTTCCTCAACATTATGAATATGGAAAACACATAAAGAAATGTGTGATAGTATTGCAGATGAAAGAACGTACTCGCCCCGTCATGCTCCTATTTCTTTTGCTTCTGGAGGAATGAGCGACCGCTCAGAAGATACAGTAAAGACGTTATGCAAAGTTGCCCGGCTTCAGCTTTCGCTTCTCCAGCAGCAACTTTGTATCAAGGGAAGGGACATACTCTTCGGCCGTACGACTGTAGCTCGACTGTAGCTTGGCCGCTCACTTCGAAGTTACAGATGCTAAAGTCGAGAAATGCTCTCACTTTTATCCGTTTCTGAAGTCTTTGAATGAAATTCATAAAAGCGGAAACTTCCGGGAACCAATGAATCATTTTGGGTGAACCAACCCCGTGCTGTTCGATGTCTCCGCGATCACGACTTCAGAACGTTGTTTTCGCTTGGTTCTCCTAGCGTCTGTTGTATTGTGTTGTCCGAAAAGTCTCCGCCGATTTTTGATACCCCGGATTTATCAACCGTTGTACAAAAGATCAAGGACACAACCTAGTAAAGTTATATGTCTTCTGAAAAAGTAGCTCCTCCTCTATATTCCTGTTAGGATTCTGTCAACATTTGTCGAAGTTTCACTGTACAGGGCTCGTATGAAATGGAGAACCACTGCGCGCATTTTTGGCATCTGAAGTATTTCTTCTACCGCAAGGCCTAGAATGCGGCTCAAGCCGCATGAAAGATATATGACGTTTGAGTAGACCATGCTCTAGAGGAATGTAGAGTGCATGACTAGTTTGCGGGATCCAAACGGTGTGAATTTGGCTTCAAAGACCGGCAACCCTTAGGGAGACTATCACCACTTTAAACGATCAACTCAAAATGTTAACCGAAGCAAAACGTCACATCACTGCTCGTGGAGTAGGACAAGGGCTTAGTGTTTCGAAGTTAACCATCCATGGTCATCTGCAGACGCTTGGTTTTGTAAAGCGCCTTGATGTTTAGATATCTCGCGAAAGGAGCGAGCACAATGCGATGGACCGCGCCTCCGTGTGCGACTCCTTGCTCAAACGAAATAAAAATGGGCTGTTTCCTAAACGCATGAGCACGGAGGACGATAACTGGATCGTGTACAACAATGAGGAGCGGAAACGATCTTAGCCTCCCTAGTGAGCCGTCACAAAAGTCAAAATCCAGGTGCGGGTGACTATGTCGAGTTGCTGATGGGATTTCAGGGAAATCACTTACCATGAGCTGTTGTCGCACAATCGCAAGATGACTTAGGAGAGGTACTATACTTAGCTAGTAACTATGGAGGCAGCGATGAACCAAAAGCGACGCGAAGTGGCCAATTGTTAGGGCGTAATCTTCCAACAGCGTACCTCCAGACCACACGTATTTTTTGCCACTCGTCAAAAGTTGCTAAAGCTCGGGTGGGATGTCATACCACACCCCCATATAGTCCAGACATAGCACCATCAGAATACCACTTGATTGGGTTTCTGCAAAATTCGTTGAATGGAAAATCGTTCAATTTGCTGGAGGACTGCAAAAAGCACCTGAGTGGGTTTTTCGATTTTAAGTCTGGAACCTTCTATGGAAGAGGGGAACTGGAACATACAGGAAGATGGCGAAGCCCTACTGAACAGAATGGAGGATGTATTGTTCAATCAATGGATTTCTTCTTCTAGGAATTTTCATTCAAAGATGAATCTAAAATCGGCGGGAACTTTTTGTACAACCCATTACAAAACCTCCGTCACACACACGCTTCCATATGCCACACACCCTCCTAATCGGGAGAATTTCTATAAAAATTTGTGGGAAATGATGAAGACTTGGTTCTTCCCCAACTGTACGAGGTGGCCATCGACATCTAGTGAGGGGGAGATCCGCCCAGAAGTGTTTAGCGAAAGAAGTGATGAACTGATTTTGAGAAATGAATCGAATCGATGAATTACCGCAATGCATATGAGGAGTCATTACTACACCCTCATCCCCACATAGCAGCTAACATTGCTTCCTCAACTTGTATTCGATAAAATGCAACAGAGCAACACTCCTGTTCGCCATTTCCAAGACAGTAATCCTACTCTCGAGGCTAGGGCCTTTACTGTAGAGCTTGATCGGTACAACTTGTCATCCCTATTCTCAGATTTCGCCCATTTCAACCACAAAGTGCTCGAGCTCCTTGAGCAATTCCTTATTCGAAGAAACTCGATGGTTTTCCTGACTCCGTGGCCGCTTTGGCAGATTTATTCGACTTGCAACTCCCTTTCATTTGTCCTTGTACTTCGACTGCATGTGTCATATTTTGATGAAGGCTATTTTGTAATACGAATCTGAGTTCGATTAAAGTATAGAAAAATTAGAACTCTTATTCAGGTATCTCAACCTTTACAATGAAATTTCGGAATCTCGCAGTACTTTTGAGCAAACTGATCAGTGTTGAATTTCAAAATTTCAAGAAATGATTTTTGTGGAATAGAAGGCTCAAGTAATGAAACTTCGACAGGAGCTTAAACCGATCCTCCGAGGTTTTTAAAGAATTTTCTAGGCTTTCAAGAATCGGTAGTTCCATTAAACACACGGAAAAGTTGAAAAGGAGTCTAAATGTCACCACTATCTTCGATAGGGCAACTGTCAAAGCAGCGGAAAAATATTATTATTTTCATCCACTTTAGCTATACTTTCCTAATTAAGTATAAAGCGGTGACATCGAGATGCATCGACTTCGTTCCACTTGCTCCTGTTGCATTCACATGGATAATGGAATTTCATGCAATTGTTTACAGTATAGGATTAGATGACTTCTATATGCTGGTGAGAATTTTTTATACGTTTACGATTGTTTCTGTTCTTATTTTCAAATGTTTCAATCCATGTCCCCGTGGTCAACAAATTGAAAAGGTTAATTCAGCGATTTCTAAATGCTGGTGAGAATTTTTATACATTTACTATTAATTCTGTTCATTATTTTGATATGTTTTAATCGATGTCCCTTTATTCAGAAGTATAAAGAAGTATTAATATCAAGTGATAGCGCTTATCAAGCAATTTTTCAGCCACTCGATCCCCATCTCGATCCCTATCGTAGAATAGTTCCTTCCGAGCGTCTTTCTACTTTTATCCAACGCTCTATGGAGCTTGTACCCAGAATTTCATGAATGTAATATTGGTGGCACAACACCATATTGTATCTTGTCCTTCTCCAAGGAGATGGTGACTGGACGTTGGGAGATTCGCACCGTAGCAGTGCAGCGACGGTTGCAGTCGGCCAGTTTTTTATAAAAAATGGCTTAACTCTTTGGTCAATTGATGCTAAGATACTCGCGTTCGTTTCTACATGAACGAAAGCAACCTCGTGGTTCATAGAGATAAGAGCAGGAGGCATCCATAATCTGCTTAATCCATGGATGTGGCCTGAGCAGTTTTATCTCCGGCGAAATTCGCTTTGCTAGGTAGGCTTCGCTTCATCCTGTAGCTTGTAAAGAAGCCTGTAAAAAACGCTCAGTAAGCTTCGCTTCATCCTGTAGCTTGTAAGGAAGCTTGTAAAATCAGGATGTTGTGTGAGTTCCGCCAGTCCTTTCAAAACACGCGTTGGGAGTGATATGGTCTTGTTAATCTTCAGACTAGTCCAGTTCAACGCTATATCCTACTACTTCTGCTCCCTGTATTTCTAAAGACCCTTCGCTCCTTCCATCGCTTCTCGGCAGCTGTTGTTAGTATACAGTCTTCTGAGGTGCAAAGTTTCTATCTGACCCTAGGTTACTTTTAGCGATAAGCGAACCCATTGTCGCTTGGGGACAAGTTATCTAGCCAAGGAAGATTGACCCGTTCATACAAACGATGAGTCCACAGAGCAGAGCGTCGTGTAGCATCTACGAGGGTCTTCCACTTTGGTCAAACATGAATGGACGTCCAGAGCGTCTCTTTCGTTCTAACCTGCTTTGCTCCTAGAGCATGATGTTGAGAGATTGCTGCAGCTTGTGGCCGAACCTGATCTTCATAAGGAGGATCGGAACCACTGCAGACAGAGTTTACTGTTTTCTTGAACTCTTCACGAGGTTTTTAAGTATGCTTTATTAGGCTAACCTTTCGGCGGAATCGTCTTCTTCAGAGCCTGAAGGAATCATAACAATCTGTGACTATCCGATCAAACGTCTCCACCAACTCCACTAGAGCTCGAGACTACCGGGCACGCAGGTGATCGAAAGGAGAACCACTTACCGTAGCTTTGGGGTTTCTTCGAAACCCCCAACGAGCAATGGTACCAACCAACCAGTGTCAGCTGGGGTATGTCCCCATTGAAGTATCTGCTTGAAAACCAACTTTATATAAGGCCGTAGCTCAGTGATTGCGAGGCATTCTTCCCTACGATTCGTTTTAGGACTGGTGACCTGTATCCGAAATGCCTCGAGGGTTTTAAGTGCGCACAATTGCGACTCCTGTGCTACGACCTCCACGGTGACCTCAAAACGCCTCTATGCTTTCGAATTCGGTGACTCCCCAAGGCAGTAGAATCTTTCAATCGCCTTATACCATCAATGTGCTCCTTAACCCTCACGTGGAGTGGACTTGCCGTTTCTTCAATATACTCGTCACCACAATCACGGCAAGTAATTTTGTAGACCACTCCACGTACCATCCTTCAATCTAAAGAAGCGCCTCGTTCGGAACAGGCTATACGATCGCCTATGTACTACCTCAAACTGTGTAGTTTGTCCAGCTGGAAAAGAGGGTGAATATAACATGTCTGGGGTGGTCTTCAAAATTATGTACTTGCCGTGACGGACTTGTGGTGACGAGTATATTGGAGAAACGGCAAGACCACTCCAGGGTTAAGGAGCACATAGATGGTATAAGGCGATTGAAAGATTCTACTGCCTTGGGGAGTCACCGAATTCAAAAGCATAACGGAGGCGTTTTTGAAGTCACTGTGGAGGTCGTAGCACAAGAGTCGCAATTGTGCGCACGTAAAATCCTCGAGGCATTTTGGATACAGGTCACCAGTCCCAAAACGAATCGTAGGGAAGAATGCCTCGCAATCACGCGTGAGCTACGTTCTATATAAGGTTGGCCTTCCCGCAGAGACTTTAATGAGGACATACCCCAGATGACACTGGTCGGTTGGTACTAACACTCGCTGGGTGGTTTCGAAGAATCCACAAAGCTACGGTGAGTGGTTCTCCTTTCAGTCACCTGCGTGCCCGGGGGTCTCGAGCTTTAGTGGGGTTGGTGGAGACGTTTGGTCGGATAGTCACAGATTGTTATGATCCTTTCAGGCTCTGAAGAAGGCGATTCACTCGAAACGTCAGCCTAATGAAGCATACTTAAAAAACTCATGAAGAGTTCAAGAAAACAGTAAACTCAATGATGCAATTATGCTGAGGTTCATAGAATGCCGTACATTGAACTGCAGACAGACTACCTCAGCANTGAGCAGCACCATCCATCTCGCCATAGCCTGTTCCAGGCATACCTACAGTAGCGCTCAAAAGTCTTCGGTGAAATGCTTTGACGCTTTTTCGTTCATAACTTTTTTCTTAGTAGACCGAATGACACGAAATTTGGATGTCTAACTAGAGCATATTTTACCCTACCCAACCCTATTTCACTGCAAAGCTGCAATATCCACAGAAAAGTAAGGTGTTTGTTGCGGTAGCACATTTTGCTAAAAGTTGGCGTCTGCACTTATTCGCACCTTCTGTGCGTTTTTCTCATTTATTGTGATCGGCGTTACCGCTCGTACACTTTTGACATGATACAAAGGAAAGAGATTTTAAAAGGACCATCAACTGTATTTTCAGTCGATTTTGAGTTCATGCTCATTGGAATATCTGGAACACGATCAGACTGCAGGTTATTAGTAGTAAATATTCACAATACATCCACGCTCCGAATATAGAAATGATTTGATTAGATCCAGTAGGAAAGAAGTTACGACTGAAAAGTACGGCTGAAGAACCATTTCACCGAAGACTTTTGAGCGCTACTGTATGTATGTCCAACGATGATGTTTTTTCTTTTGAAAAATTGGTTACCGTGGAAAAGCCGAGCGGGAGAATTCCCTGATCTCTTCCAATCCTGAACTCTTTTTTTGTAATCCCTCTAAGCCTTCCATTAAAGTTTCTGGTAAAAAAATTTGTCGAAGATTTCTTTCTTGTCGATTTTCTCCAGCCAGTCGTGGTACGTCTCATGTTCGGCTTCATCAGCTACAAAGTGTGGTGAGTAGCGGTTGACGATGTTGGTAGTTTTGAGACATGAAAGTAGAAGGATAGCGGAGGATAGCGAGGCGAAAAGATACAATACTTCCCATAGGAAGTGACGAGGTGAGCAGTGGATGGACGACAAAGCCAATGCCGTCGATGTTTCGCGATGGAAGTATTCCACACCAGATAACATTATTCCCATCTTTCATTTGTCTTGTGTCAGTTTTTCTGCTCTCGGGTTTTTCCCTAGCAATCACGCGATACTTGATGTGGTTTATAGTATAGAGTAGCTTTTGAAGAGCGATATCGGAAAAAACCGTTTCGCGTTGTATGTGTGAGGACGTTATATCTAGATCGCGTGGGAGGAGTGCGTTATGTTTTATAACCAAAGGCGTCCTATGCAACCTTAGGCTTCCTTGCCTCACGCAGGTTGCCAACTCATCAGGAAGGGCCTACTGTGCGGGATACCAAGGCTACTCTATCACTGTTAGCTGTTTTGCCTCCGCTCTCAATACTGTCCAGCCAGGGTAGGTCGCGAGTCATCACTACGGTCATCGTGACCATTGTGGATCTGAGGGATGATCTACATTTAGCCGTGTAGAAAGACAGAAATGCCTTTGGACTAAGTTCCAGAGAAAACGTCAGGGCTGCAAAAGCAGGATGATTGCTGCCAGGGTCACTCAACGCGCTCATAGAACGGCGCTCGGAATTCCGCTACCTACGCAACTGAGAAGAGAAACCGGAGTTCAGGGCTCCGTCAATTGGCCTACTGATTTGCCCCTCGGAACATCAAACGAACACCAGGACGGCAGTCAGCGCGATGGTCAACCTCTTGACGAAAGCTCTGAATGAAAGGGATGCTGTATCGTGTCCCTCAAGCGATGACGATCCACTGGACCACTCTGGCTCGCGACAGTAAAGAATATAGACGTTAGGCGCCCGTTCGAGGAAGTCGATGATCAACGGGACAACTGGTGATGCCAATAAAACTTTTTGTTCCGGCGCAACCATCCTTCTCCTAAAGTTGTTGGGGAGGTGCAACTTTCATTACTTTGTTACAACCTACACTTCTGGATTATCAGCAACTAATGCATTCAAAACAATATTGAACATTAGCAAGACCTTAACAGCTGTAGTAAATCACATTTTTTCAGCTTGCCAACACTATATTTTTCTGCATGGATGGATCACTTCTTGCGATGTTTTTCATCTTTCCCAATGAAAAGCCACGTCACTGCAGCGTCGAGACATCGTGACATCCATACCAATCACTGTTGTTCGCCTTGTTTTCTATTACGGATAATATATATGTATATATGAGCTATCGCACTGCTGAATACTTGTCGTCATAAAGGTTGTGCCGTGCGTTCTCAACACAATGCAGGCTCGCGTATTTTATATATTACGTCATATGAATTAACTTGTAAGCAGCAATCCTAGTATTCACAATCCGCTATGTATGCATGTTAGATTGCCGGTATGTAAGTGTATGCGTGTGTGTGCGGGTGCTCTTGTGCGTGTGCCGGTATGTGTTTGGCCAGGAATTTATAACCTCTTTCCCCTAGAACTAAACGTTCAAGTTTGGAATGAATACAAACGGCAGAATACGACCACTAATAACAGGTGATAGGAAAGAATAACCAAATGACAGGATGGTACGGAGTCTCGGAATGCAAGAGCCACACGATCCGTCAGCCCCTTCATGCTGACGGTGGGGCTCGGCATTTTAGTTTAGTAGGTGGTGTGGGCTGACAGGGTATCGTAGATGTTTGTCCGCAGGGATTGATAAGAATAGATAGGGATCGTGACTGGCCATAGAAGGCGAGAACCACTAGGTCTGTAGTGTTCTTCGCATTAACAAGGGAGGATTGGTACTAGGGTATGTGGTGTGGGGCGTGAAGAGACAGTAGACGATAGGTGACAAGGGCTGACAACAAGCCATAAGGGCTGGCGAAGCTGTAGGAGGTTAGAGCCACTAGGTCCGTAACGCCCTTCGAATTGGCAGTGTAGGCTTGGCACTTCAGTGGTGATGTGGTATCTTGGAGACGAGGACCGATAATGAGCGATAAGAGCTGATAAGGAGTCATAGAGAACAAGGGCCACTTACCAATAGAATCCTAACGCCTTTGGTATCTACAATCTAGCTCAGGCTCTTTGATAAGACGGTATAGTGCAGCGATAGGGACCTATCAAAGGCAGCATATAAAAAGGTGAATGTTTAGTTCTTGCTAGTACATGACGACCGCTTTTGAGCAAGGTTTGTACTCAGTAATGCAACAAGGTTTTTCTTCCTTGGAGGCAGGAATATCTATCGATAACGACATTTGATAACGGTATTATTATCACTCAACAACAGTTGGGAACACCATTCAAAGCTTTGGTTCATTAACATTTAATCTTCAACGGGTGATCTTTTTGATGAAAGACAATAGATCGAAACTTCTAATCATGGTCCTGGGCATCGACACATATCAAATACCTCTTGCACTGCCCTTTGTTCCCGTGTCAAATTTCGTTCACAAAAAAAACCATTCAGTTTGAAGAAGGTGGCGGGCTAGCCATTATTACAAATTTATCCCTAGAAGAAAGACTCGACTGATTTCAAGTATATGTCAGCAGTCATTGACGTTTTTCAACATTGAAACACGTCAAAATTGATAAATAAGATGTGACGCGGAAGTGAAGGGACGGAGGCAAAATATGTATTCCATGCTTCTGTGCCCGACAGGTTTTTAATGGTGAAACATTTGTTGTGCAAGATGTTTGTCGTTCTCAGAGACTTGAAAGGGCTTTGGCACTTTAGAGAGTTACCTATCACGCTTGAGGCAGATCAACTCTTAGCTGGTTGCAACTCAGATCGACCAATTTTCAACTAATAAGGACTTCAACAAGGTGCGTGTTTGGTGCCCATCATTGGCAATCGCGTGGCAGCGGAGCATACTGAAGCAGAATAAACTTCAAAGTGTTTCGTCCTTTTTATTTAGGATGCATCGGAAAGTCAGAGCGGGCCACGAGACTATCTTGCGCCATCACATTGCATGTCGGAGGAGGTTATTGGCGCGGTTTCTATAATAGATTTTTTGTGCAAACCGCAGATCCGATTAATCTGAAGCGATCGATTACTGGAGCGCCAATGAATATCCTTTCGGGCAAAAAATGAGTAACTTGAGCACGTTCTTCCCACGGACTCGTTCTACTCAGAGGATTGCTTGTGCCAATTACTCGGAACCTATTTAGTGCGCAGGAAGGTTTTCTTGTAAGCCTGTTTCTTTAAGGTTACACTTGTGTAAGGGTATGACGGTGATGAATAGGTGGTGTTTCTTACACAGTAAGATTAACGCAACGCTGATGATGAGAAGCGATCACAGGAGGCAGCGCCACGGAGTGGACATACAAAAAGGAATGGAAGAAGCGGTGAGAACAACAACCGACCGGGGCTCCCCGGCGGAGAACTACATATTAAAACGACCTCTGACGCCTCGTTCGAAGAGGCTTGGCACACCATGCTTTCAATACTTGTTATTCGCCTGTACTGTACTTACTCGATAAATGACAACTGCTTTCATTGTTCCGACTGTGCATCTGGAGAAGGTGGAAACCCGAAGATATCACTGGTAGCAGCTCTCAAAGGAGGTGAGATCAGTCTTCGTTTTCTGTCCTTCTTATGAACGCGCTGCCTCAGGGGGACTTCATACTAGCGGTTTTATTGTGCACAATGTTAGAACAAGGTTTATTTTCTTTTCTTTTCTTCTTTCTACTGTCAATACTGCTACCAAGTCACAACAATTTTGCTTCGATGATCCGATGGTAAGGGCTTGTTCCATTAGTGGCCGGGGCTTCCGCTTACCACTTGCACCCATTCTCACCTTTATTATAATACTTTCTTCTTTCCTTTAGCACCCCTATTCCCTTTAGATCTCTTTCCTTTTACCCATGAGGTCTTCACATAAGGCGCAGCCATAGAGCACTCTACACATATGGCTGCGCTCTATGTGAAGACTTCATGGTCAGCCGTTCGACATTTACCCTACCCCTATCTTCTACCACTTTTTTGTTTCATCACAATAGAAGAAAACCGGGTAGAAACTTTCTCTCTGCAATAGGTCCAGCTAGTTTTCGATGTCTCGCATCATAACCATGGCAGTATTTTTGCGATGATGGACTGAACGATGAACCGTTTTTGAATGACAGGACACACGAGCAAGGAATACGTCCTCGAAGCTCCAAGCTCAGTAATCACGCGTTGAGAAAAAAATTATCGTCGTGCTCGTAGCTGCAACGTCGCTGTTTAGTTTTTTGCATTAAGTACTCTATTTTTCCACTTTTTCCTTCACTACTTTAGTTTCCCTATTCTTTTTTCTTTTTCTCCGGAAACACTATAATGCGGAGTTTCTTCTTTGACTGCTCGTTCTCCTGGACAGTTCTATTTCTTTTCACCGTCCGTTCTCAATCATGCCTAACGGAGCATCTCTGCGCATGCTTCTTAACGCACTCTTTAGATTTTCTGAACTAGGCCGGCTCATGTAGCCAGTCACTGACATTTTCATGCTCTCCTTGGCCTTTCGAATGTGACATTCAACAGGCACCGATGTCTCATGACTCGGAAGCCTGGTGACGGAACGTTAGAAGTACGAGCGCAAATAGAACAAGTGTTTTTTCACTTCGGGAAATTAAATGATCATGTCTCGTCTTAAGGATTAGGCCTGCATCCTAAGCTTCTGCGGGGTAGACATTTTTCAGCTCTCGGGGTTATCTTATAGGGAATGAAAGCGAAAGGTTAGCAGCTGTGAATCGCCCAGGGATTTTTCATTACTTGGATGTTTGCCGAAATTTCTTCCACCCTCGTCCACTTACGCTAAAACGGGGCAGTGATCTCTTGCCGGCAACACGTCTTCCCACAACAAAAGCAATTCCATAGTTTCATTCCCAGCGGGGAGATCGCTGAATGTTTTCTTCCCCACCCTGACGTCGAAATCCTGAGTGGCAATATGGCGTTGGCTACGCGGGGAACGCGGGCTTACGTGCTCTCATAACACTTATCTTGATATGGGGTCAAAATCACACAGAGTTATTCTATGGCTCAACCACGTCTCCCATCTCAATACATAGGGTGCACCGCCTCTCCTTCGCCGTATAGCGTTGAATCGTACCCTCTATTGCTATCCAGTGTCGTCATTGAATACATGCCGATCATTCGCAAGCGAGTCAAACCAGGCTGTATTCTCCTGGCGAGGTTTTTGCCCAACTCGACGCCAGGGCCGGCTCCCTAGACTGAGGAGCAACCATTCTTTTTTCCATGACGACGTCTCCGACAAGGCCGTATCCACAAGCGAGTTGCCACGGCGCTGGGCGATGCCATTACTTTCACCGACCATCACGATGTTTCATTAGGATACTCCGTCGCCACGAGTCACTTTTTTCTATGGGGTTAACGAAAACGGAAAGCAATTTCCGAACCGGCTCCGCTGCCTTGAGGATGTGATGCGCATGCAACCGTACCCCTCCCCCCTTTCGGACGAGCAACGCACTACTTCCCCCATACAACATCTTGACGGCGTCGCTCGGGAAAACGTTGAAGAACTGGATTATGTTGCGAAGAAGACCTATCCGGCCATAGTATCATACTTAATTTCCTCCACAAGTATGGCGGTGGCCCGACCCGTTGTTGACAGAGTACCAACACCTGCCCATCGTTCGGTTCGTCGCCAACCCAGCTCCTACGTAAAGGAGCGCCGGACACGACAGTCGATCTTTACAACATACTCTGAGGTCTTTATACCAGTTTCACTGAAGCGTTTGGTCCAAGGGACGCGGAGGGCCTAAACGCGTATGCCCACGAATGTTTTTGCTACCTCGATTTGGGCGTGGATCCCTCTGAGGCTGTTGGCCATAATTTCCAGCATCCACTGAAGTTTGGTTTAGATATAAATTGGAATGACAGGAATGACATCTCGGACAAGTAGTTCGTTGACATAGTCGGTTGTTGATGCTGAAAAAAGGGAAAAAGTGCTATCACTAAATCTCTATGACTGCTGTGCTAAACTCAGATGATTATTTCAGGAATTATAATTAGAATTCAAAGAAGGATACGTATCCACATGTGGAAAGAAAGTTGTAGGTTAATGCAATTATTGCCAGTAAGCCGATTACGGCTGGGAGAATACTTTTATACCATTGTGCAAAAACTGTAAAGATATGTAGAAAATCAGACCACGCGAAGCCGTCGTTGGTCATGGATTCCCTTTCAACCAAAGTT